AAAAAAATCTGAAGAAAAACTATGTTATGAAGAAAAATAAAATAATAAACATTTGCCTGAGCATTAAATCCAAATTACTTACCAAATTTGAACTAAAAATAAAATACAGAAAATAAAACTAATAAGCAAAATAAGAAAAAATCTGAAAATTTTGAAAAAATAAAAACAGAATTAAAATTAGTGAGTGAGCCAGCACGTTTTCGACACCACCATCTTTGGAGATTTTTCATTTTTGTTTGGCACATCCAAATGCCATGAAAATTTACAGATGTGCACTTCACATAACATCGACCGGGACTGAACGTAGCCAGGAGCATCGCAGAGCCCCCTATGAAGCAAGTGTGTCCCACCCAAGGCCCATGCGCCCAGCACCCACACTGTCTCCGAGTCTGCCACGCCCAGCAACAGACTCTCGCACAAGAAGCCGGCTCTCCCTGCTCCACAACGCGATCACCCGCTGCCTGAGCACCCCCATGGGCAGGGCAGCGCCAAACGCTAACACATTAGCGCCAACGCTGCACTGCCACTCTGAGGCAAAAGTTGCTCAGCTGATTTTTCTGCATATCGTAGTTTTTTCAGATTTGTTTGTTTGTTTGTTTGTTTGTTTGTTTGTTTGTTTGTTTGTTTGTTTGTTTGTTTGTTGCAGGAACCTTCCCTTGCCCTTTCCCAGCCCGGGGCACCCGGCAACCAAGGTGACCCGGGTGGCCCCCCGGGGCCAAGTCCCACTGGCAGCGTTGAGTGTCCTCAACTCCTGAATCTGGACGCGTTTGTGGAAATGTGCGGTTGACGAAACTCAACGCCATTTCTGCACATCTCCACAAAACACGACCAGATTCACGCGTTGAGGACACTCAACTTTGCTGATGGGACTTGGCCCCCAGGTGGCCCAGTTGGTAGGCCAGTTCAAATTCAAATTCAAAATAAAAAAAAATAAAAAGAAAGACGTGGCATTCCACGACCTGTATCGGTCAGGAGCATAGAGTCCGAAGAAGTTAAAGACAATTCGAAGACCATCCGCAAACATCTGACGTAGGCACACAAAAGAGATTACACACAAAAATACGACTGCAATTCACTCATTAGAGACGACTCGAGGGAGAGAAAACTCAAAGATAGAAAGACATTCGTGATTTGCACTGATCTTAGGGCATACTCACACTACTACGTTTTTGCGTATTTTTGGACGGAACTGTGGCCAGATACATCCACGTATGGCGTGAATGCGGTCAGATACATTTGAGACACTGCTAGTGTGAGTACGCCCTTAGATGCAAAGAAATCCGAACGAACAGTAAGAGAGGTAACCCGTTCATTCCATCCCTGCCGCCATTGTAAAATGGTCATCGTCATTTTACTGCGTCATCTCCTATCCCCCCTTTTACCTCTGCTGGCGATCCCCTATACCAATATTTTGGCCGCTGCCACCTCCGGCCTCGTCAGGGGATTCGTCCGGTGCCTATGCTGCCGGAGGCAGCTCTTATTTAACTGTTCCTAAAAAAAAAAAAAAAAAAAAAAGTGTTCTTATTTCCCTGTCAGCCCGGTACTTGCTGTGGAGCCTGAGCTGCCCGCAACTTTTTCGTGTTAGACTTCCCCGCCCAATTGTCCATTCAATTAATTTCAGTATCTCTCCTGCCTTTCCTTCTTCCTTCGAAGTTGTCGGTTTTTTTTTGGTTATTCCCCGCCATCTGCCTCGGTCTTTCCCTGACGGCCTATACTACTTACTGCTTACTTACCGGTACTCCGTATGTGGTCCGCGCTTTTTTTTCCAAACTCCTGCGTCGTTTTTTCCCCAAGCCCGCCCTCAACCCCGATCCCCGGATCTTAAA